CAGTAAAGCAGTCCTCATAGAGATGTAACCTGTGCTGTATTTGCACACCTTGTTCATTTGGTGTGCAAATGAAGTTGGTGTGCGCAGGGCAAAGAGCCCCAGCTCAGTCCCAGAAGCCATAAAAACAGGTCTACTCTGGTGGTTGCTTAGTCTCCTGCTGAGAAACTGGCTTTCTGTAATGCTCCTACTTTACTGAGAGTGAAATGATTGAAACTCAGGAGGTGCCCAAATTTGGGTGGCATGTTTGTCTAACTGTTCATCAGGTTTTCATCCAAAAATTACCTGTATCTGTAAAAAAACCCACACTGAATTCTCCTTCACCCTTAGGTTTTTTTGTTTTGTTTTGTTTTTTTAATACCTGCAGCATGAAAATCGAGCCTTTAACTTATAGGTAAACATTTGTCCTAAGGCATGGAAATAGCAGAGGTTGGTTTTGCGCTGGGACGTGAACCAGAGGAGTAGGCAGGTAGTTGACTCTGTGGACCCTACGAGCCACAGCTGACGCTAACGGTTCATAGTATTATATTTCTGCTGCTTTGTATTTCTGCTCGAGCATCGGAGGAGAGAGCAGGACAAGGCCTGATCCTTGTGCGGTTTCACACCACGGATTGTTGCCTACCCTATAGCTGTTTTATTATACGCGAGTGCTCAGGAAACATCTGCAAAACCCTTTGGATTTAAAATCTGTAACTTGTGACCCTTTTAGCCCACATCTCTGAAGCTGAACCATGAGATTTAAAAAGAAAATATTTTCTGCTACTTTATATATAGAATATCACCAAATTGTCTGAACTTTGATTTGACAGAAGGCTATGGAAGGAAACATCTTGCTCTCTGACATGCTCCTCTGTCTGATCTACAATTTGATTTGCAATGGTGTAATCTCTTAGTGGTAAAAAAGTATTTCCCGGTTTCCTGTTTGTTTCAATAAAGTGCACGATTCTTACCGGTGCCTTGCTTTTTAGTGCTGACTGTGAATATACCCGCATAGAATACTTTGCCTACCATCCAAGTGTTATCTTTGGAAAGACATAAAGTGGCTGCCGCTTTACTGGCTCACCACATCACCTTAGCATCATGGGAATACTTCTTGCTTCAGTGTGGCATGAAGCCAAGCCTTGATTCTGGGAAAAATAACCGTAACAGAATCCTCTGTGTGGTTGCCAAAGTATTTCAGAGCACCAGAAGATATGACTTGTAGAAATGAGAATAATAGCTTCAGTGCTTGCTTGCTTTCTGTAATTTTAGGATTTACAGGGAATGGTAAAGAAACTAAACTGGAAGGATGACAAGGGAATATTGGTAGAGAGGGCAGAACCAAGCCTTCCATGTGACTACAACTTGGTTTGCTTGGACTGCTCATCAGATTTGATGAGTGGTGTAGAGAGGGGAATTCAGGTGCTTTCATCTGCCCTCTGGAAACAAGGATATCTGAAACTAAAGAAATGGTCACAAATTCCAAGTGAAACAAGAGAATGTTTTCCTACTGTGAGCACACTTTGGAGCACAGTTCAAAACAGCATGGGAACTAGGGAGTCTGTGGACTTCACAGGATATTCTTCTCTGAGGATAATGGGAACGTCAACAGGAACATGAAGTAGGAAGTGTGAGAGATCAAAATCTTTGTGTCTGTAGGCAAAAAAATGTCAGCTTATTTATCGATCAAGGCACAATCTCATGCTGTCTGCTGTTGTGCAAGTTGTTCAACCTCACACCTTCCTCTGAAGCCTCTAAGGAAGAATACGGAAGTCGCTGGATCTCATCTGCCAGAACAATTCCAGAGGACCTGGAGGATAACAAACAAGTGATAAGTAAACACAACCTCCTCCCTGCAACCCGCTTGCTCTCTCTGCTGCATCTGCTCTAGGAAGCTGCAGGTTGCTCAGTAAGGAGTTGTTCGCAACAAAAGCAGATGTGAACACAACAGTCCGGTCCTCCAAAGACTCTTTGTTTGCTTCAGAGCAAAGCTCTGATTCTGTTACAAGAAACTTTTTCATAACACGTCTGGAAGGCTGGGGGAGCTAGAACTGCTGTCTCAGGGGATCCCATCGCAGCTTTCTAGTGAGATCAAGTTGTTCTCACATGGCCCCATATGTGCTCAAGGTGAAGACGGCAGGAGACATAAATAATCCTTATGGTATGAGCTCATCATTTTGTCAAATGCATGGCATATCTCCTTCGGTGGAGGAAGAAGGAAACCTGGCACCCGTCTAAAATGTCTCCTTGCCAATACCTTAATGCAGTCAAGATTTACATTGTCTGCTAGGTCATGCACTTAGCAGCCATTCAGATCCACCCACACCCCAAAACGTGGAGCTGTGAGTGGGTGAGAAATTCCAGAAGCAACTCGGCAAACACAAATGTATTGAAGAGACGCTTGTTATGCAAACTGTTTTAAAGTTGGAGAATTTAAGAACAGGCGCAGGGTCCTGGTTGCACACTGGAATTCAATCTGATAAAGCTGGACAGGCAAAACAATAAGAAAAGGGAGTCTTCTTAAGGGAGGAAGTTGTACCCCCCCACACACCCCCTCTGTCTCCTTGGCCATCTGCATTCCTTCCCTGTGAACCAGGAGCAGGAGCAGCCATCGGAGGGGAGCTTTCACTCTCTTCAATCTCCAGAGATCCAAGAAGGGAAAATTTTATCAAGTTTCATCTTAGGCACTTAATCTTTTGGTGCTATAGGAGAGGCAGAGTGGCAGCTGGGTCCCTAGATGTTTGATATTACCACCTATGGTATTAAATCCAGGATAACTCAACAAATTATTTATCATCGTCTCGCTTCTCAAGGAAAAACAATGTGGATAATAGGTATCTTAGTGTTAAATCTTTATGATTTATATGCTTTTAGCCTGACAGGCCAATTTTGCAGGTCACATGCTGTTCATGTACACAGCTAAAGGGTATTTAACTGAATATGTGTGCTGGTTGTTTATTCCCAGTGAAAAATGCAAGAAGTGGTTAGCTTAACATCTGTCAGGAATGACAGAGGAAGGGCTGATCCTGCCAGGGCCTGGACGATCTTTTAAGTCCCAGCTCTGTTTTCTGCGATGGTATCTCATTCCATGTTATAAACTTTAAGTGCAAGCTGGCAACCAGAATTTAGGGTAGGACGTGACTTTGTGGCTAATACTAATCCTGACAGTTGCTGAACTGAGTTTCATCCATCCACCTCTAACAGCCTTGCAGCAGTGGGTAATTATAATCTCTTATTTTTACGTGGGCAGGAAATGCTTATAAATGACTGGTAAACTGAACCACAGCCACAAAGGTGATCAGTAGTGGAAGTGAGAGCAGAGTTTAATTTCTTTGTTCTGATAGTTCAGCCGTGACAGGATTTGGTTACTGGAGTGGGCACTGTTCAGGGACAGAGCGATGCACCAAAAAGAGGAGAGTGTCCACTTTATCTCTGTTGCTTTGTAAAAAAGAAAGTGTAAAGGGCAACACGTGGGTGTGGGGAAACAGTACTATCAGGATTTATTACTGCCTAATGCGTGTGTCCTGCATATCACAGTGCTTTGCATCCATGTGATGTTAACACAGCTGGAATCAATGGCTTAGCAGCCTAAGCTTGTGTTTCGAAATGGCTGTACTCCCTAGAACTGCCCGCTCACATCCCAGCAGGGTCATCTCTGCCTGTCATCCCATCCCCGTGACAGATATGCTGCGTCCCACACACATCACCGGCTGTGTCGGCCAAGGTCCTGACTCCTCGGGGAGGGGGAACAAGTCTCTGGTGGTGTTGACGTAGAGTTGGGGTTCACTGGGAAGAAGTCTGCGTATGCAGAATGCCACAGGAGAGGGAGATGGGTGGAGCTGGATGCGCTCGCCGGAGCTGGGCAGTGAGGGCGTGCTTGCGTGGGAAGACTGCACCGTTTTGTTCTGCGTAGTTTAGAACAGAGCTGCGGTAGCATCTTTTGCTTCGCTGTACAACACACCTAAATGGTCCAGGAAAATGGGAGACTTTCCCAATTCCTAAACCCTTCCCAGAAATAATGCCTTTACTTGGTATCTTGGTACTAGATTTCTGCTGTACAGGTATCGCCTGCCTTGTAGCTTCAAGTATCTTATCTTGCAGGAAGAGGCAGCAGTTGCAGAGTTAAGAACTGTTGCTTATCTTAAAAGACTTGCTAATGAATTGCTAGCTTTCCCTGCTGCACACGCTGCTCCATCCAAGCACTGGCAGGTGGATGAATAGGAGCTGGCTATCTTTTTCGCTCCATGCCTCAACACAGCCCAGCCTGATCTGTGTGAGGTGCTGGGATAGGTGGTTTAGGAAATTCTCCTGACTGCATTTTCTGAAAGGGAGAAAAACCCCTCTGAAACAAGCCAAGTAACCTCTCAGTAACTTTAGACAGAAAAAAAAAAAAAAGTAAAACTGCGATTTTAAATTCGCTGGTTAAAAAACACCTGGCGTTTTAGAGATTTGGGATTTACCTCCCACTTCAGGGTACGGAGTTTGCTATTTGAGTGCCCAGCAGGCACACACCAACTCGCACCCCCACACACACTTTTTTTTTTTTTTTTTCCACCTGGCATCACCCACGCAAGCCTGGCTCCGTGGCCAGGCCTGCTCGGTGTGCCGCGGAGGACACCGGTCACCACACTAAGGACCGCGCCGAGTTTTCGGCGGGAAGCTCCCTCAGCCGCGACGCGCAGGGGCCTGCCCGAAGACGCTTGGCCCCGACCGGGTCAGTACGGTGGCGGAGATACCCGCAAGCTCCGGAGGAGGCTGCTACGGTCCCAAGCGAGCCGTCCTCCCCCCGAGAGAGAAACAACGTAAAACAGCGAGGGGGGAAGCACCTGCCCCGCCGCCGCCGCCGCCGCCGCCTCAGAGCGCCCGGCCGACAGCGCGCATGCGCGCCGCGCGTCCCCTCCCCACGCACGTCGACGGGGGAAACCCCCCCCACCTCCGTCTACTGCGCAGGCGCGCCGCCG